TGTAGCATAGCAACTAACTATGCTATCGCGTGCCCCAAGTATATATATATATATATATATATATATATCAACTTGATATTTTTGTTTATAACATTAAAAACTGAATAGCATATTCTGTTTCGTCAGAAGATATTTTTGTATTCTGACTGTAAAAATAGGGAGTCGCTTTATATTTGAACTCATATGGTTTATCAATGTATCTGAATTTTACAAATGTCTTTACAAAATATCACTTAATTTACATATTACGCCTGTTATCACCCTTACCCTGAACTGCCCGTAGTTTTATTGCATTTTAGTCCATAATACATCTGGAGTTGGCGATTTACGATTTGTTTTTGCATATCAATTTAATATATGATTTCGGCTTTCGGCAATATTCCGAATGGAACGTGACTTATTTCCCAAACACGAAATCATACATCAACTATTTGATACCCCCCCATACATCTTCATGGGGTGGCGTTCTATTGAATACAGGGATGACACTACCGTTACAAATTGAATCCGGTTAAACATAATGGACAAACTGAATTTAGAATGAATATCTTCTTTATCTTTCGATATTTCAAGCTGTTGCGTTTCAGTCTGTGTCCTGAAGATGCCCGTAGCGTACAGAAGTAACTGTATACTCTTCGAATGAAGCTACTCCGATTATCTGTTGAGCCTTGTCTTCATTTCTTCCCGAAACCAGGGTAAGAGAGGACAACAGGTTTGATACTAATATAACTTGAGATATATATCGACCCTGCCACTGGATATTTGAACCTGACAGAGTTACCAACGTTTTCGAGGTACACTTGCCTACATCTTCAGGATAAAATCATCTCAAATGTCGGCAACATTACCCAAATTTACAGGATCCAAAAAACAAACAACGGGATGAACATTAACAAGGAACCTAAGACTAGTAAGCGTTTGTAATGCGCGTGAATATAATTTCAGCCTAGATATGCATGGCGTGAAGATTATTTCAAAGGAGGGGGCGTCCAGTTTCCCAAGACGAGAGCCCAAGAAACTTTAAGGGCGGAGGTAAAAAGTAAAGCTATCCCTGTAGCAGGCCGCGAAGGCCCGCAGAGTTGTGAGGCTTCGAGGCTCCCACATTTTCTAGACAGTCGGCTCACAGACGGCGGTGAAGTTGTCAGTTTTACGAGCCGGGCGTCCTTTAACCCCCAGGAATATTCCTTGTACTCATTTCTGTTAGACGCTGAGTCGAACCCAGGGCCATAGCGCGGCTGGAAGGATTAGGTAAATTTAAAAAATCTACCTTATTGGGATTTGAGCCCGCGACCCCAATAATTTAAATATGTAATTTTAGTCTTTTTATTAGTGTTTGGTATATCTCCGTTTTTCAAGTTTGTTTTTTCCTTGGAAATGTAGCCTATGAGTTGAAGTTTCCGTAATATATTGGTACTGGCTTAGAAAATATAAAGAAATAATTTTGTTCTGAGCTGAAGTGAGCTAGCACAATGTTAGATCTTCTTGTTAACTCATTGTTAAACTCTCAGGTTGTAAGTTGGAAGGGGGGGGGGCAAACATCTGCACCTCTCTCCGTGGATTTTTGGCGAAAATTAAATAGAAGGAAATATACCAATAGAGACTGGCCCAAAAGTCAGTTAACCTAAAATATTCTCTCTGTTAATGGGAATGTTAAGATGTAGAAGTGTACACAGCGTCGTGAGGTGTGCACTGAACATGGAGGTTCTTATTTCAAACGATATTTGTAAATTCATGAAGTAATAAAGATATTTCTGTCGCATTTACTGTACGTTTATTCTCTTAGTGGGGGGTGGAGTCCAACTGGGTCCACTCGGCACGGCGGCCATTGATTGGCCTATTATACCTGCTCCGGGTGAGTATGATGATGGAGAATTTGGTGGAATGTAGATTGGCAGGGGAAACCGAAGTACTCGGAGAAAACCGGCCCCAGCGCCACTTTGTCCACCACAATTCCCACTTGACCAGACCCGAGATCGAAACCGGGCCGCCGCGATGGGAAACCAGCGGTTAATCGTTTGAGCTATAGCGCGGCCATTACTGTACATTTAATAGCCAGTTAACATATTATTGGGCCACTATTTATTATTACCAAAAATTAAAATATTAAACAATATATTCTAGTACTTTTAATACTGTAGGGTCACAAGTATGAATATTTTCAAGCAGTGTAATAATAAGTATTTAAGCACAATGTGGCGTATTTGCTTAAGAAAGAACTGTAAAACTATCAGAGATAGCAGTTGCTAGGGAACGGCCCTGCAAGCACACCTATCTCTAGGCAACAGTTTCGTAACACGAAACAGTGGAGTAACTTGGAAGCGGCATTATCTACGCGGTCCGTTCGATAGCTAAGTGAATCAACAATATCACTATTTGGAGAGATATTTCCTATGCAGTTCGTGCAGAGATTATCAGAGGTGTAGCAGCTGCGATTATGAGAGTCTTGAGACGACAGAAGAGTAGGAAGCAGGAGCAAGAGGGCAGCCAGCCTGCGAGCGCTTGAGCCTGGGAACAGGGGAACGTCCGCTGGTGAAGACACAGCAGACTGTGAAGAATTAGCGCTTATTGTAGTTAACTGCAAAGTGTGTCAATTAGCGATAGCGCTACAGTTACGTTCTGTAAGTGTTCAATAAATCTAATATCCAACCCAAATCCCGTCTATAGGTACTCAATCATGTGACATTATTTTATAGCTGCTCCCTCTTGGAAAATGTAATGTTGGTACCCATAATTCTAATGGAAATTTATGGCACATTATACCTTTAATCTTTCATATTCTTGAGCACTGTGAAGTATGCGAACACTTTGTTGCCAATCTGAAAAATAAACAAAATTAATTAGCGAATTTATGATATGCAACTTCTCCATTTCATCAACATATTTTGATAACATTTCTTTTACCGCGTTTTACTACGTTTGTCACGGCGAAGAGCTCTAAAATAAAGTAACTATATAAATTTTAATAAAGCGTATTATTACATCAGCAAATGTTTCTAGAGATATTACGAAGAACTTCCCAGCCGTCATTCTCACTGGCTCCTTTGTGCGCATGATCACCATCTGCAGAAGTTTCTTGAGGTTTTGTGACCGTTGGTACCACTGACATTCGTACGCAGCTTTCTGTACACCCATGCTCTGTGCAGACAGAAATTAAAAAAAGTATTTATTTTCATGTTTCCCGGAAGATATTCACAGATTTTTCGGAGGAAAACCTCCTTACTTTTTAAGGAAGATGGAGCTATCGCAGTCCTCCGAAACTAAATATCTTTTTGACTACAAGGTATCACATTATAAAACACAGTAACCTTCATAGTCAAGACTGTAACAACTACAGATCTCTAAAAGTTTGATGTCAAGCATTTATATTTTCCTTATTATTTTTCCTACAGGAAAAAGTTGACAAAGTGCGTGTGTGTCCACGCACAACTACAAGGAGCCCAGGCTAAAAGAAACTCTGCAGCTGCTGCCTATAAATCGTCGTGATGCGGTGACTGGGCACAGGAACAACTTAAGATTTTAAACTTATTTTAATATCATCCTGCTGGTGTATAAACGTTATATGCTTTCATATAAATCGACTCCGAATAGTAATTATTACCCAAAAGGAATGGGCAAGGCAAACTATCTTTACTGTGACGAAAAAAAAAAAGAACTCACTAGGTGGCTTTAGTCCGCAGGCGTACTGTATCGACTGAGCGACCACTGCTTGTGTTGGGTTTTTAGTGGTGAGATTTTGATTTTTTCTTCACATTTCCTAGGTCCTCCAACAGGAAACTTAGATTTTCTAATAAAATTTGTGTATGTTTTCTTTACCATATTCCGACTACGTGCCAGACCCACGATATCATTTTGTATTAAATCTGTAAATGTACCTCTTGCTTAAGAGCATCGCTACCAAGATGCACGGCTCAGTGGACGTAGCTGCCCACACACAGGCAGGCCACTCACCTCCAGGGAGTGGGTCTCAGCTATGTGGAAGACAGAGCTAGATTGAACGGGTTGGCAAAAGGAATCTTCTGTCCCTGACAGGAATCGAACACCATTCCAGCCCACTGCCAGTTGTTTTACTAACTACGCTATCTCCACCTGACTCCATAGATTCAACTAGAGGACGTTACAGCTTTCACAGGCATTCTGATATCTCTAGAACACAAGGCCACCCTTACAAATCGCTGAGTTCCTCGTTACGTAATCCATTTCAATATTAACCCCCCCCCGCGTACGTCTAGGTATTCCTATTTGTCTCTTCTGAATTTCCCACCAAAATGCTGTATGCATCCCGCTTCGCAAACACGCATGCTACATATATTGCCCATCGCACTATTCTTGACTTAATCTTTCTATTTATATCTGGCATGTTATTGAGCTCTTCATTATGAAGTTTCCTCCAACCTCCTGTCACTTCAGCTCTCGTCGGTCCAAATATTCTCCTCAGCACCCTGTTCTCAAACGCCCTCAGTCTATGCAATTCCCTTAAAGTCAGATACCAAGTCTCACACCCGAACAAAATTACATGCAAAGTTTTAGTGCTGTATATTTTGATCTTTACGTTCTTTGACAACAGACGAGAAGACTCAAGGTTCTGAACGGTAGCAAGCATTACAAGTCCACAAGTTACAAAAGTTTTGGACTTATTCAGACACCGATTAAAGTCAGAAAAAAATAATCTACACTTTAAACGAGTACCAGGAATCTTCCTGGGGGTAAAGGATGGCTAGCGCGAAAGGCTGACAAACTCACCGCCATCTGTAAGCCGAATGTCTAGAGGAAATATGGGAGCCTCGACGTCTCACAAGCCTATGGGCCTCCACGGCCTGTTACAGGGATAGCTTTACCTTTTAGCAATACTGATTGATCACAAAGACCACTTTACATAAGACCGTAAATAACAACATAAAATATGGCTAAAATTGCGCAAGGAATCTATTTGTGTAAGAATTTAAGCAATATATATAAGCAATTTGTATCTTATTCATATTCGTGTGACTTTTGTGCACAGATGAGAGTTTTCTGATGGGATGATTTCGCATAGTGGAGGTCTTTGGTTGCTTTTTCGTTGTATAATTGCCAATTTCTCCCACTCAGTAATGCGAACGTGTTTCCTATTTTTTTTTTCGAAAAATAAATTTGTTGCAGGCTAGTTTTCAAAATTCTTATTTCGAGAGAATTTTAGGTCTTGTACAGCCTCTGCAAACAGTATGAAAATAAACTTAAAAAGAAACAAGTGATGCAGAAGCATATACCACATATGAGTTACACGGCTTTCAATCTTGTATCTTTGTACGTACCTCTGTGGATAACATCTCTCCGCACAAACATATGGATAATGGCAAGACAGTTGTATCGACGATACTCGTTAAGAACCTGAATTTATTGTCAGCCTCACCCTGAAATTTAATTTCAAAAAATTGAAAACGGTAACAGTTGGTCAGCTATAGACACAGTGCCCCCCAGAACAGAAGTTATCATATCCAAAACGCATATTTAACACCGCAAGTGGACATTGGATTACTCAAATTTGCTTTTCTGCAGTTATTCTGGTGTGACGTGTACTGAGGATACATTTGAGTAAGTAATTAGGAAGGAAAGAAGAAGATATTGTAACAGATTCGATCAACGCATTGCCAGGCAACAGCTATGCAAACACGGTCCAACACGCAACAATAAATGAGGCTGTTTTCTATGTCGTCCTCGCTGAGCAACAGTAGGAACGGAGTCCTCTGTGACGTTCTTACAATAGAATTGTGTTTTCTATGTGGTCCGTATCACACGCTCACAAGAGTCCTCCACTGGTCGGTATCCTAAGCCAAATTAATCCAGTCTATACGGTCCCATCCCATTTCTCGGAGATCTGTTTTAAACTTATCCTCCCATATGTTTTTGTCTCCCTACTAGTATCTTTCCTTCTGGGTTTCCCATCAAAACTTCATGCATTCTTCTTCTCCCCCCCTCATGCGTGCTACATTCTCTGCCCACCTCATCCTCCTTGACTCTGAATTATTCTAATTATACTTGGAGAAGAGCAAAAGTTATGAAGCTCCTCATTATGCAGTTTTATTCAATCTCTTCTCACTTCATCTCCCTTCGGTCCAAATATTCTCCTCAACACCCTGTTCTTGAACACCCCCAGTCTATGGTCCTCCCTTAATGACAGTATGTATTATGAAATATTTGCTTACCAGGACTAGTTGATACAGCGGCACACAAATCATTACCTCGTACATTGTTATGTATATGAGCAAGAGTGGACTCAGGAAGTCGTCAACTTCAACGCAGAACCTGGAAATTGTTTGCAGGGTTCGTTAGGTGCATGACGTGGTCGTGTGCTGCGGCATTATGCTGGACGTCACGTATTTAAATTTCGCTTCTTAGTCACCGTCTCACATGCAACCTACGAAATCACCTGATAATGTGTTGTATCCCGAAGGATAGTGATGGGAAGTACTTGTAGACCGAGCGGAAGTCTTGTGGACTGGGATCGTTGGAGCACTTAAGAATTGAAATTCAAGTCTTCGGAAGTCGGTTTTCAGGTTAATAGAATGATGTATTGAATCAAATGCTTACACAAGGTTACATTAGGAATACTGATTATAGTTACTTGATAAATGAACAGAGGATGTGAGTGCACTATGCACCAACGCGGTAGGATTCGGCAGGTAGTGAGAGGTAGCCTCCAGGGAGGTGCTGAGTGTACTACTCGATGATGCCGCACTGAAGTTCAGTAGTAACACACAAATACGTGAAGATAGTGATTAAACTGGCGAGGAGTCCGACCGAAGTGAACAAGTCAAAAGTTTAGCGTGGTGTCCGCCGTGGCTGGCAAAGCCTGAGTTTTTAAAGGGATTCGAACCCCGAACTTGGTGCTTGGACATCCAGAGACACGCCTATTGAGGGCGTAGTCAGATTCAGGATCGACATTTGATTCGTCGTCCTTAAAGAAGAGTTTGACCATTCAGACGTATGGAGCACTGGATGGTCATAGGAATTCCAAATGAGGATTCCAATTAAAATGGTTTTTGAAATCACGAGGGGAGAACACCTGCAGGAAGTGCCCATAAGCACGTCTCTCCCCAAAAGGGTGAACCTCTTATTTTGTATTCACTCAGAATTTCGGGGTCTAGACTACCCCATACAGGAAAAGGACAACTTAGAATAAACAAGTAGGGTAGCTCGTGGTGCAGGGGACACTATCACATCTCGTAAAATAATGCGGGGGTTGAATACATATTACACCTTCCCCCTTACAAAAAAAATTTAAGCAATGATTTGCTTAGATTTTTTCTTACTGTTACATTAATACATTGTAATTAACTTACATACGCACGTGATACCATATGCTCAGCATCCGCACTCCTTCAAAATCATACTCGTTCACATCACTGTGAAACCAACTGATTACATGACACAAAATTACTTGTTATTACACTTAAAAGATGAATAAGATATTACACAAACATAAAATCCTTATATTGGAAATCAATGCTGCCAAGCATTGCCATGTGCTAACGCTTGTCAGAAGGACCAGTGCGTTTAGCGCTTGCAGTCAAGGACACTAACTCAGTAATTTCCTGACTGTCATTCTGCGATCCTCTGTGCTTAATGCTAGGCCTAGATGAAGGAAATTGCAAACTTTCTCTAGATGAATGAATTGAATTTACTATTTTGGGCTTAAACACTATTGTTGTACATGGGTTGTTATCTTTCCACCATTTAAGGAAATTAGGGCATCTTCTGCGGCAACATTTGCAGCAACAACAGTAACAAAAAATGACCAAAATTAAACATGTAGTAATCATTCCTACATAATACAAAAATGACAAATGAGAATCTATATTGGAGTGCTTCAGTTTTAGCTCTTCCTCTGATATGAGTTTCTCTACCTCCTCTACTCTGTAACTTGCTAATTTTAAGTCATCAAGATGACTGACCACACTTTTTATCGGTAGATCCAAATGCATTTTGTTTAGTTTTATATTTCTTTCTTCAGGCAAGCAACAGTCATATTCAAGGGTTAGGGGTGGAATTATATCCTTGCCTGTATTGTTGGAAGCAACGGTAGCATGGGCCTGAATGAGAACCTTGCTCCCGTAGCCCTTACACAAGCCGTGCAACTTGAGCTTTCCTGTGCCATGTATCTGAACGTCTGAGGGTTCCTGACCCGAACACAGCACAGTGAGTGTATCCACTACTGGAGCAACATATAACCATTCATTGTTATTTAACTGGGTCCACAGTGTTTGGTTCAGTTCTACTATTCTCTGAGAACAACTGCTGGGTATATTTCTAATGGACTGAAGCAGTTCGGCTTCACACTCTTCATTTACATGTTTCACTTGTACAGGGTAATTTTGCCTGCACAGCCGATGGTTGGTAGCCATCAGTTTACACTCCTTAAATTCGTGTACCCTTAATCTAGCATAGTATTGCTTGGCTATGTCCATTAACAAATACTCACGTTCTGGCAATATAAATGTAAATTTAAAGTCAGTATTCCTTATCTTAATCGGCAATGGCAAAACATGATACACACTATATTTCACATGACTTGTCAAAGGTATGCGAATTACATACACAAAATAATTTCCTTTCAAAAATATATCTACTTCACTAATCCTTAAAACTAAATGCTGGTAGGCTGCACTCAATGGAATTGGCAATGTCAGGTCACTCGGGATGTCAGCTTGATTTAATTTCAACTGGTTCACAATCTGTGCTGGTGTAATAATACGTGGCTGAATTACGCCCTTCTGAGCATTAATAATGGCTTCAATTAAGATTTCGTAATCCCGTCTACATTCGCCCAAAGCTCGATCTAGTTGCGCCGAATGTTCGTTTACAACAAGCAGCATGGAGGTAGAAGTAAACATTCTCTTTATCTCGCCATCGCGTTCATTAACGTGCCTGGCCATGTTCTCCAACCCTTTTGATAGTACTCTCTCGTTGGCATATACGTCCTGTAACGTCGTGTTTATGGATCTTAAGGTTGATTTTACAACTGATATCTGTTCCTTGGAAAGTTTCAAAAAATCAATTTGTTCCCTCTCTAAAACCGAAATTTTGTCCGTATAATATGAAGCATCTTCACTATCCATAGTACCAAACAAAATTTTGCTAATTCCACCAATGAAATTAAAAACACCTCTTTTAGAACGTAACTGGGTCGCATCCTCATCAATTCTGGTTAACTGTTTTACAAGTAGTTTCATATTTTCTACCTCCTCAATCTGTTTATCCAAATATCTAATGGTTTTCATGCAATCAGTGAAATTGATCCAAAATGTGTGTTCGTGCTCCTTACAAAATTGTATCGATAAACTGGCATATTTCTTTACAATTTCCAAATTTTGATTAGCCTCTTCCAGATTTACATACGTGACAACCTTCCATTCTGTATTGTACAGCTGTGCGGTACCTGCGTCGTCATAATACAAGCCTGGGGATTCAGTGTATTTCTCTATGGTGACGTCGAGAGAAGCTGTCTGCTTTAGCAACATTAGTATGCTGCAGAGGGTCCACATTCTGGCCGGCATGGCCCTGCAATCAGCCAAAGAACGGTTTCAGTCTGTTGGCGTGGACCTTGAGGGTCTTGTTCCTTGGTAATTTTAGCGTAATATTTACGTCGTCGACCTCTGCTATTTCATAGGGTCCTATCCAAGGGGGTGACAGTTTCAATGACCTTCCTCTCCTAATTCTTTCGTCATGGAGTAAGACTTTATCCCCTATTACAAACAACGGAATGTTTACAGTTTTGTCTTGCTGTTCCTTACTTCGTTCCTTCTTAGCTATCAGATTGCTCTTAGCTAATTCATAACTGGACTGAAGCCTAGACTGCAATTCCCTTACGTAGTTATCATACGTATACTGTACGCCTGGGGCTTCTTTCTGTAGTATGCCAGGTATATTCGGCTTCCTACCGAACATGAGCTCATGCGGCGTGAAACCTGTGGAGGTGTGAGGTGTCGTATTGAACACAAAAGTGGCGTAAGGTATCCATTTATCCCAATTAGTCTGGTCTTCCAAAATGTAACATCTAAGATATTCCACTAACACCCTGTGCGTGCGCTCTAGCGCTCCGTTTGATTGGGGGTGATACGCTGTTGTCTTAATTCTCTTAATTTTCAAAAGTTTGCACATGTTAGCAAATAGTTCACTGAGAAAATTAGAACCTTGATCTGTCAAAAGTACCTGTGGAATCCCGAATTTTAACACTACTTCCTCTACGAAAGCCTTAGCTACGGTTCCTGCATCTTGTTGCTGGATGGGTACGGCTAACGTGAATTTAGACAGCTCGTCCTGAAATGTTAACAAATATTTGTTTCCCTCTGCTGTAAGGGTCAGGGGTCCAACTATGTCCAATGAACATTTTTCCCAAACTACATCCGGCGTAGTTGTGATTTGCAGGGGCATTTTAGTTTTGTTTTGTGTAATTTTGTTTTTCTGACAAATTTCACAACATCTAACATAATCTTCGATTTCCTGTTTCATACCTGGCCAGGTTACGAAAAGCTTTATTCTTTCATACGTCCTATTCATTCCTAAATGACCGCCAGTTGGGTTTTCATGCATTTCCCTGAGAATCCTCGCCTTGTCTTCTTGGCTGACTATAGGTTTATTGTCTTCGTTTTCCCTAGCGGGTGTGGTAACATGGATTCTGCTAAGTGCGTCGGCATTTTTGTTTTCCGAACCTTTCTTATAAATTACTTCATAGCTATATTCTTCTAGCCTTAACCTCCATCTTAAGAGTCTCGAACTCGGGTCCTTTACACTGAATATCCACGTGAGTGGACGGTGATCGGTGACTATGGTAAATTTCCTCCCGTACAGGTATTGTCGGAAGTGTTTGCATCCCCAAACAATAGCTAGCAATTCCTTTTCTATTGTGGGATAATTTTTCTCTGCACTATTCAAAGTTCTGCTAGCGTAAGCTATGGGAAGATCCTTGCCTATGGATCCTTGACTTAGTACTGCTCCAATGGCTTCATTACTAGCGTCTGTGGTTAACACGAACGGCCGCGTGAAATCAGGGTATTGAAGCAACGGTTCTGTTATCAACAATTCCTTCAAAGTATTGAAAGCTTTATCCGTTTTGTCATCCCAAACATAGGGCGTATTCTTTTTCAATAATTCGGTCAGTGGTTTAGCTATTCTGCTAAAATTTGGCAAAAACCGTCTATAGTAGCCTGCCAAACCTAAGAAGCTTTTTAACGTCCGTGTACATGTGGGAACTGGGAAATTCCTGACAGCTTCTACCTTTCTCTCATCAGGTCTAACACCGTCTT